GGGTGTATCAAAATAAACGCAATTCATCTTTTGTGCTTAACAACTTTCGAAATACTATTTCTAGTTAAACGCTTTTAGGCTTACTTCAAAGCCTGTTCCTTTCTCTTTCAAACAAACTATTATCCTTGTCTCCAATGCTAGTAATAATTGCACAGGAAAAGATTTAGTAAAACCTATCATTTTTAGTTGCTGTTTAATTATGCAAGTTTAATATGTTATTGTTTAGTCGGTTTAAATGTTAGAATTTTCTTCTTTAAACTTTAATGTTGTCGTCACTACATCTGGAAAACCACGTAAGAACAAATTAAAAGTATTTTTAAAGAGACCAGGTTGTTTGAAAATCCTAAACGAATGCTAAAAATCGTCAAAACATTCTGGTGTCTGAGCCAGAGTGTCATCGAATTGCGATGTAATGTAAACAGAAATTATAGCAAGTTGATGTCAGTCAGCTTAGATGGTCCAAGCCAAAATTATATCGCATTTGAAGTTTCAAACTGAGTTAAATATAGTGGAAGAAAAGCCGTAATTATACTTATTGTTACAATCCATTTAATAAAATGCAACAATTTTTTGTTTTAATGAAAAAATCAGTTATTTTCATGAGAACGATTTGTTATTCCATCTCAATTTTTTAAATCTCCAATCGCAATAACGTAAAGTATTATTACTCGCGAACCAATTAGTCAAATTTAAGAAGCCACCCACTGTTAGAAAGCTGAATGGCTACGCTTTAAAATGAATGTAAACTTTAAAGTTTTCGTCTATTATTTGTTGAACAATTTACATTTCAGTCGAGGATTGCGCTTTTTTTGATACACCCTGTATATCAACAAGAAAAGGCAGAATCTTCAGAAAATGCGAATTAAAAGGATATTTCGAAATATTATAATATATATCCCTTGAGTACTGAAACTACGAAGAAATGGAATATGTACTAAACGTCCATAGACACCATCGATACTTATGTGCACACTATTACACTATATAATATATTTTCTTACTGTTATTTCTATAGCATATGTGCATTCATATACAAAGACATCTCACCCATTGTCATTGATTTTGCAACACAAGCTCTTGCTATTCATTAAAATTACACACACTCTGAACTTTATCGAATTGATATCGGTAACTAGATCGGTAAAACAAACTTAGCCCCCTACCCTTATGTAAAAATTTTGTTATCTACCAAAATCTGGGAGACACGTGACCAGCCTGGACCAGGGTCTTTCCTCCAGCGAGGCGCGTAGCGGAAAGATCCTGGGTACGAGGTTGACTGTATTTAACACTTATCAAGTCACAGTTATGTTATGCTACTCAGATAGTTATGTCATGCTACTCCCTGGCGCAGGACACGCTAAAAGCTAAAGTTGAAAGAGTTCAGAGGCGAGCTACCAAATGGATTTTAGGATACAAAGAAAAAGAAATTACTTACAAGGACTAAAGACGCTTAATTAACTTACCGCCTTTGTGTTATGATAGAGAAATCAAAGACCTTTATATTTTTCTATAAGGTTTTATATAGATATATTGACTTGAACGCCAATGAGTACGTCTCATTTATATAGAACATTGTCGCACCAGGCACAGTGAGAATCCTCTAGTACTGAAAGCCTCACGTTGTAATTCCAGTACTTACCAGGCCTCCTTCTACAACCGGATGGTCAAACTATGGAATTAACAATGGAATTAACATTAATTGCAAAACAGCTTCTGCACAGAGTTTTTCCAGCATGTCTTCGTTTAAACTGTTAATTAAGCAAAGATATATAACACAGTTTGGCACACACTTCGACATCGACATGACGTGCACATGGACACTGTCTCATGACCGTCTCTGACATTGAACTAGGCATATAGTTATATTTACTCTTATATCATAATTTTTAGGTTAGTTACTATATATATATATATATATATATATATATATATATATATATATATATATATATATATATATATATATATATATATATATATATAATATATATATATACTATATATATATATATATATATATATATATATATATATATATATATATATATATATATATATATATATATATATATATATATATATGTAGTGGTTTTTGAGTTGTTTTCAGACGAGTGTATACCAAACCGGGCAAGCAGAAAATTCTACTTGACCGCGGCTGGGATTCGAACCCGAGACCTTCGCATTTCTAGAACGATGCTGTACCGTCTGAGCTACAAGGTCAAGCTGAGAACGACTTGTCCCCGAGCCGGCGGCGCGAAGCGCCGTGCGGGGGTACTAATTCCCCCCGGCTATTTACACCCGGGGAAACGAAAGCATTAGCGAAGTCTAAAGTTCATCAATGAGCGCGGGCGTCGGTCACCAACGATGGGTGGTCGTCCTCACTGATCTCAAAAATATGGCGGACTGTCATGAATAACGGACACTGATTGGTCCAATTTAAAGTTTGCATTATAACGACTGCATGACGACAGCGAAATAGGAAACATTTCTTGATTTGATGAGTTGATGATTGATAAATTTCTTGCAAATATTCTTCATATTTGCTCGTATTTCTGCAAGATTTTGTAAATTTCAAGAAAGAAAGGGCGAAAGAATCAGCTAAAAGAAGGGAGCCGACGTTAACGAAGGTAAGTTTGTTTTAAATATTGATTTTATAATGGTTTTAAAACCCGACGGCCTTTGCGTATATGAAACAACTAAAACAAGACAGCATATAATTTCAGTGTATCTTCAATATTGATTCCCTTTTTTATTATATGGAATTTTTTAAATAAAAAATAAAGCAAAGTTATTTGCAAGCGAGAATTTGAAATTATTTTATTGCAAACTCAAAGTTTATCGATAAAATATCCATTTAATAGTTAAAGGCAGTTCAGTTTTATAAAGAACACTTTAAAACGTTTTGTGAATTATTTGTGGTTGAATTTTACCTTAAATTGAAGCTTGTATTACGTATAATTACATACCTAACATATATATGTTGGGAAATTGGTAATTTTGTAATTAAAAGTGATATTTTTAGGCGATTTTCATTTGTAAGAATATTCTTAAACTGGAAGTTACTATCACAAGGAAAATGCTGCCTCAACCCGTCTTCCATCACACAAGCACGTAAGGCACCCCTAAGACACCAGGAGGTAGGAAAAGTGCAATTTGAATACGAAAACAGCTTGCACAAAGTCGAAGGTCAGGTAGATATTCTAACCATAAAGATTATAAATAACACTAGAAGAGGCATTGAGGTTAAAAATTT